TTATTCTAGAAGTGTTGTAAACTTTAGTAAACTAGGCTGGTTGCCTTTTTTTGATGAAATCAAACTAAATAAGTGTACAATGATTTTTAAGAGCCTTAAAGGCGATGTTCCGATTTACATCAGAGACTTGCTCAAGACGAACAGTTCTGTACACAATAGATCTACTAGACATGGCAATTTAAATTTAGTGTGTCCCAAATACCTAAGAAATAACGATGGTGGCAAGGCATTCAGTGTTGACGCAGTTAAGTTATGGAACAGCCTTCCCCATGATATCAAAAATAAGCCTAGTGCAAAACTATTCAAAACAGCTGTGAAAAAGCATCTTATAAGCTCATATAAAAACCTGGACAACTTTGAAACAATATTAAGCAATAGTACATTATCTAATTTTAATTTTTTATAAATTAATTTTATCTTTCTCAGTATTTTTAATCAATCCTGCTATTTCTATTATAGAAGTTTGTAATTATTTATATATTTATTTATTTATCCGTTTTTTGTAATGTTGTATAATCTAGTTAGAGGGCCACAGGTTTGTCAGCTATACAGCTGTTAGTGTCCCCCTCTATAAATAAAGTCCTTACTTACTTACTTTCGAACGGTGACAGTCCAACGGTCACTATCATGCTGCTCCTTCCAGTTTGGCTGTTTTTTCCTTCTTTGTTAAAATTGACGCTTGCAATGCAAGGTAGCGCTCTTTGTCGAAATCCCGTAGGCCACGTTAGTTTTGAAAATTTCAGGCGCGATCCCTTCCATTACTTATGGGGTAAAAAACTTACATCCTCCATGGTGAAAAATGAGTTGGAACGCACTTTTCTTTGTGTTGGAGAACCAAAATTTCATTCGTTGAACGTGGCAGTGTATCCTGACTCAAAAGGTCCTTATTAGTGTGTGAATTGTTGGCTACCGACAAGTACAGAGCGACTAAAAACTTCATTGCAAATGATACCTTCCATCATTACAGACCGTGGGTGAGTATTTGGTAATTATACGGCCCAATATATAAGAAAAAATGGAATGTAAACTAAAAGAGATGTTTATTAATTTTTCAGTCTCCACGTGAAAGCTCTCCCTGCAAGAACGATGCTGTCTGTGTTTCTGAATATCTACTGAACTCGTATCACTGTGACTGTAGACCTGGATTCTGTGGGACACACTGCGAACAAGGAGGTATTTTGTATCTTAAAAATTCATAATTTTCTTTGTTGTGTATTGTAGAATTTGAAAAAAAAAAGTGTAAATGTACTGAGGTTAAACTATTATTTTTTATAATACCTGTTCAGTATACCTGTTTTCAGCTAATTGGAGGTAATGTCCAAATTTGATTCCGGTCCCACGTTGCTGCGCCTCGTTAGTCCACAACATTTTATTCACTGTAATGATGAATATCGTAGTCGTTAAGAGTACGCGCCACACTAAACCACAGTGGATTTGTTAATTAAACGAATGTCAGTCACTTCGCCATTTTTCCATCTTAAAGAATTCTCGTTAGCATTTGCCTCATACATCGGCTCTGCATACCCGCGTAGAGAAGGCCTACTCTGGGGCCTTAAGTCGCCGTAACTTTGGGCGACGTTGGGCGATTTAAGGCGATTTAAGGCGACTTAAGCGAAATTGGCAGAAAAAACATTGCGACTTTAGGCGATTTAAGGCGATTTAAGGCGACTTAATGCGACTAAAGATGACTTAAAGCGATTTTAATTGACTGAAGTGATAAATAATAAATAATATCTTTATTTATTATCCAGCTACACTTAGAGGAGTACAAATAACGCCATAGATGAGTACAAATATCACTCGGTATTTGCACTCGTCTATTGTAGAGTACCGGTTAAACAGGTTTTCTCGCATCGCGCAAGCGAAGAATTGAATACGGAAAAAAAAAAGTGGCGGACAATTTGAATCATATTTCCGACGACGAAGAGTCAGAATGGCTGGAAAATATAGATCCAAGTTTATTAGATGAATTGAACAAAGAAAAACAGCTTGACGACCAGAAAATGTCTTTTCTGTTTCTACTTTCTTCATTTTATGAAGAAAGTAGAAACAGCAACACAACGCTCCAATTCCGTTCCGCTTCGCATACTTCTGTCACGCACTCCTCGTAAAAAAATTCGAAAATGTGCGAACGAAATTCGCTCGCACTGAAATAACAGTTTGGCGTGTTGGATAATAAATAACTTATTAGACGTCTTTTTGTGTAGTATCGCTGAGTATTTTTACTCCTTATTTGTATTTTGACGAGAATAATTTGGATATATGAACAAAGTTGAAATGGTAAATTGGCCACCGTAACGATTACAAAAGCTGACGTTTCGAGCGTTAGCCCTTCGTCGGAGCGTTAGCCCTTCGCTCCGACGAAGGGCTAACGTCAGCTTTTGTAATCGTTACGGTGGCCAATTTACCATTTCAACTTTGTTCATATATCCAAATTATCTTGTCCTAAAAACGGTTACAAGATGCGCTTCAAATTCTAGGATACGTTTAGACGGCGACTTAAATTGACTTTCTCAGCAAAATTGGCAGAAAAACATTACGACTTTAGGCGATTTAAGTTGACTTTAAGTGACTTAAGGCGACTTAAGGCGACTTAAGGCAATTTAAGGTCCCAGAGTAGGCCTGAGAGATATAGTTAATGCGCTTGAAAAGTTTGGAGAGTACCCAAGGAGTCAGGGCGATGAATCTAAATCAAATAATTTATTTAACAAAAACAAGCTCTAACGAAACAAACCTATAGGATGGCCTAAACATAAACAAAAATTGATGATATTCTAGTCAAATTGTGCTCAGAAATCAAGATTTTGGATAAAAATTGTAGGAAGTGCTAGGCGATCCGATTTCAAAGTCAATAGGCCCATTTGTCGAGGCCAAATAACCACCTGCTAACTAAAAATTACCACGAAAAAAGGAAAGCGAAACTTACAAAGAAATATTTCGACACAAAATTTTTTATTAGGAAATGCTTAAATTGCTCTTTAGAAGCTAAAATATGTTAGAATTTCTTGCATGCGGGCGACCTGTACGAGAGATACACCATGGTTGAATCGTTGTTTACTATAGTTTTGTTTGCGTAGAGTTGTGTTGACAATTAAGAGAGCTGTAGAGCAAAATCTTCCGTTGAACAATACTTTTAGGAAATGTTGACATCAGGGAATGGTCGGCTGTGGCATAGAGTCAGAAAATTCGTTTCGAGTTTCGAATTGCGTGAAGAAGTCGTAGGGTTGTTCACTCGAGAACTCATTTAGACACTTTTACGGCATAAATGTTCATTGTTTCCCATCGAATATTCTTCGGCATACTTACATTTCTATTTGATATTTAAAAACAGTCTATTTCAATCGGACTGGATTGGAAATAAGCGGGAGTTTCGCAGTCAATCGCAGAGGAAATAGTTTTTGCTCAAATCACTACTTTGTTGACGTCATAACTGTGCAAATGGTAAATGAAGTACGTTCGCGCAATATTGAAATTAAGTACACGAATTCATTAGCCATATTTTCTTTAAACTTCATTTTCCCTCTAAAAATTTTCTATCGTATTTCAGAAAACAGAACCCACAATGCCATCAAATACTGCAATCCGAAGGCAAAAAGTGGCTATTACGTCATCGATCCAGATGGAGAGGGTGGAGTGAAACCCATCCAAGTCTACTGTGACATGACTGAGAAGGAAGGCCTTGGAGTCACAGTTGTCAGTCACGACAGTGAAAACAAAACATTGGTGGATGTGTTTGATGGCTATGGTAGTTATTCGCGCGATGTTACTTACTATGACACCAGTCTTCTCCTGCTAGCAAGCCTAACAACTTCGTCAGCTCATTTTGAACAGTTTATAGAGTACGTCTGCTATCATTCAGCGCTCCTTTTCAATGGTGACATGCGCGGCTGGTGGGTGTCACGTAACGAAGAAAATATGACTTATTGGGGTGCAGCTGACTCTGTTCCATTTAAATTTGCATGCGGGTTAAGCAACAACACATGTGCAGATGCAAGTTACGGCTGCAACTTCGATAAGAATGATTGGGAATGGCGAAATGACAGCGGTTTATTCACAGAAAAGTCCAAGCTTCCCGTGACGCAGTTGAGATTTGGAGATACCGGTGTCATTAAGGATTAAAATTAAAAAGGATATCACACGCTTGGAAAACTGAAATGTTACGAACTCATCTAAAACTCACAAAAATTGTATCTTAACCGTTTAAAAGATTACTTGAACATTATACTCTTTCTGTAGTGTAGGACCTCCATTGCCATTAGGCAGAATATGATACAAATGGAAATTTGATTGTAATGAACTGACAAGAATGAGAAACTGAATTCATAATGTGTGACTAAAAGTATTTGTAGAAAAAAACTATTACCAAATGCCATAGCCACAGTTGGAAAGCGAATGTTTCTTATTTAATTACAATTCAAATACAGAATCGAAACTTTTAATAGCTGCATTTCCAATACTAGTGAAATAACATTTATTTATGTTATCTCAGCCTTTTCAGTTTGAACAGCGGAGAAATATTTCTCGAGTTATTTTCCAAAGTTCACCTACCGAGACACCTCAACTAACTTTGTCATTTGAACCAATGCTTTTGTTCGAATCCCATTCAAAACTCAACTACTCAGATGAAGACAAAGAAACCAATATCATATATTGTCATATGATTCCGGCCACCTTTGTGAGGATATATTTTCGAACTTTTGTAATCGTTTTTTTTTTTTGTTTTATTATTTTATTTTATTTTGTGTGTGTGGGTGTGTGTGTGTGTATGTGTGTGTTTGTGTGTCTAGGTTAGTTATTCTATTCTTTTCTCTTCTGTATTTGGTCTTTTGAAAATTGTGATCGAGAAAAAGCTTAAGCATTAAGTCCGATAAAATTCATAAAAAATTTAGTTGCTAATATTATAAAGACATGCACATAACATAAGCACGATAACAAGCGCACTAATCATTTTTTAAAGAAATTTGGTTACACGTACTGGGAATGGAAAAAACAAAGCAAAACAAAGCAAAATCCGTATTCTCACCAGCCTTCGCTTCTACTCACCAAAAAAGTTTTCGGAAACCAGTAAATAGGCTGTTAAGGTTCAAAAGACTCGGGTACTTGTAAAAAAATTTAAAATACAGCTGAGAAGTTATCATGTTGGAGGAGGAAGATAACAGGAAAGTATTCATACTTCATAACACGAAGCAATTCATTTTGTCGCTCAGAACTGTGTTTTTATGTTCTATGATATCACTTGATTCAGATATTTAACGGTCGCCGCCCCTTGGTATTTCTTGTATCTATGTTGTCTTTGTTTTCTTGAATTAAGGTGAAAAACAATTCCTCCGAATTTTTTCTCGATACCCAGCAGACGGTAAATCTTTTGAAATACCCATAGCATTTGACAACTCAACCCAAGCGTTGCACCTGCTCCATGAGTATGAATAACCGCCTGTGGATGTATGTATTATGTTTTTCATTCGTCTTCAAGGTGTATACTTTCAGATAGTGTCAGTCCAAGGGTCACTAACATGCAGCTCCTTCCAGTCTGGCTGTTTTTTCCTTCTTTGTTAGAATTGACGTTGGCAATGCAAGGTAAAGCTGTTTACCAAAATCCAACAAGCCATGTTAGTTTGGGAAATTTCAGGCGCGATCCCTTCCATTACTTATGGGTTGAAAAACTTACATCCGCCTTGTTGGAAAACGGGTTAGAATGCACTTTCCTCTGTGTCGGAGAACTAAAGTGTTATTCGTTGAACGTAGCAGCGTATCCTAATTCCAAAGGCCTTTATCTGTGTGAATTGTTATCTACCGACAAGTACAAAGCGACCGAAAAGTTCCTCGCAAATGACACCTTTCATCATCACGGACCGTTGGTGAGTATTTGATGATTGTACAAAACAAACTTAGAATAAAGTTGAAAGGGGATGTTTATTAATATTTCAGTCTCCTTGTGAGAGCACTCCTTGTAAGAACGGCGCTGTCTGTGTTCCTGAATATGTGCTGAACTCCTATCACTGTAACTGTAGACCTGGAACCTGGGGAACTCACTGCGAACGAGGAGGTATTTTCAAAATTCATCGTATACTTTGACGAGTACAATAGAATTTGCAAAAAATAGCTGCAGATATTAAAGTATACCTGTTTTCAGCCTTCTTTTAGAAACTAAACGAATGTCAATCACTTGGCCATTTTTCTAACTTATAAAATTCCCGATTAGAAATTGCTTTTATGCGTCAGCTATGCATTCCCGCATCGTGGTATGAAGTACTTGAAAAGGTTGGAGAGTACTGATGAAGCTAGAGTTCCCCTTGTCCTTGTCGCGCCTTGAAAAACTCTCACACATTAGTTTTCGTTCTCTCCAAACGTTCCATATGCTTTAAACCTCGATGAACGCACAACTGCCGTAGGAAGCAATGAATAAGTTGCCAGTTATCGAATACATGTGTTTGCAAAAATGTTTACGGGATCGCCCAGGAGCAAACATCGCAAGTTGCCAGAGGGAAATATGTGGCGTGAGGTTGTTTCGACGTCTAAATACACGATGTTTTGGAGAGAGGTCATCGCATTTCCGTCGCCCTTAAATTTTATCACAAATGAATCGTACTTTTTTGTGTGGTGGACCGAATAACTATGAATTAGACATAAATTTTTATATATCTATCAATAAACCTCTCACCTTGCCGATAGCTTATTCGAAAATTGACATCGCGTAAGGGTGTCGTACTGTTACAAAATCATGCTTTTGATAAACAAATTACGGCGGCTAAAAATTATACCTCCTCAAAGGAGAGAAGTGGTTGGCAGCGGAAATTGAAATTGTTTTACCGAACCGTTGCTCTTTGAAGGAATGAAATAAGCCCCGAGAAACACGAGGAGATCAGCAGGTCGAGCTCCACTTTGTTTTGGAGAAATCGAAATCTTGTCAGGAACAACAAGATCACGGGAAAAATTGAAGAAGTCTGAAGACATATTCAGTTGGACATCGCTCCTTAAAGCGACCCAGTTGTACCAAATCAAAGAAGCAAAGCAAGTATTCATAATAATAATAATAACAATTTTATTTAGAAATAATTTCCATAAAATCCTCTACAATACAAAATATTAACAGCGTGAAAAACGATCCAAAATAACTCACTTTTGGCTCACATCTACTCCTTTTTTTGTCAGAGTCTGGAAAACTATAAATAACGGAGTCAAATCTCAGCAGATTCAAAGTCTAATAATCTGATAAGTAAAAGCATATCTAAAATTAATATATACTAAAACAGGGGATAGCGTTGAAGGCGCGCTCTGATTGGCTAGTCAAACTCGAAATATCCTTTGCTATTTACTTCCGGGCAACTCGGGGAAAAAATGGCGTCCCTGTTTGCATCCGTGACAAGCGAAGAAATCACTCAAATCAATTTTTGGTGGTGAATATTATCTCACTGTTTTAGTATTTGCTAAAACAACTATTCACCTCAGTGTCGGTGGTTAGCGGTGGATATTTACCTCGCCGCTTCGCGGCTCGGTAAATATCCTCGGTAAATAACCACCTCCACTTCGTGAATAGTTGTTAACTATCTTATGCTATTCCCTCACTTCAATTTAGTTCGAATGCTTAGTTGTACAACATTGAATTCAAAGACAGAAAGCCTGTCTTTCTACGGGTGTTCGAGATCATCGACTTAAAGAGGAACGTTATTATTGAGAAAGGTGAAAGAGGATGTTATTCTCGCAAATTTCCGGGCCAGATGTAGTCTCTCTCTGTTTCCCTTCTAAGTGTTATCCCAAACAGCCGAACAGTTAAACAGTTTACTAAATACGACTTCCTTATTTAAGCGCTTCTGAGATCAGTGCCGATTTTTCGTACATCATTTGTTTTTCAGTCTTGCGTTCAGTGTGTCTTCTTCACCTACCCTGCCAAATTTCAATCTAGTCTGAGCACCAGAAATATCTTTTTTTGAGCCGTTAAATTCGCGATTTCGCGTCCGCCATTATTTGACCATGATCCGGAAGTTGACCGCAGGACTCAGAGGAAGTATCGTCAAAGGCTCAACGCGAAAATCTCACATGGCAAAGTGACAAGGAAACATAACAGAGTAAGCAGTCTATTGTGTCCTCTATCCTTACGGAAACACATACAAAAATGCCGGGGTATCGATGCGTAATTCAAGGCTGTAGCAATCGTGGAGATCATGCTGGTGGTATTTCTCTGCAGCGAAGCCTTGCAAATAGGTGGGAGCGGAAAAAACGAGTGCGATTTGTGCGAACCCGCCGGATAAACTTCAATCCTGCTGATATATTTGTGATTTGCTCCGAACACTTCTCGGAAGACTGTTTCGAGAGATCTATGCACTTCGAAGGATCTAGGAGAAGAATTCTGCCGGATTCAGTGGCAGAATACCTTACAAAAAGGAAAGAACTCGGCGAAAATTGTAAATAAAGATAATAAAATAGCCGAGTAATGGCATGAGATTTCTGACCTGAACTCACTTTTAATCAAAAGAGATGGAAAATATAGTTGTGTTCTCTAACTCTAAACATCAGCGAAAGCAGAACAAGCAGCGTAACACAACGTAGAAACACTTTAAAAGGCAGGTTTTCAGCCAGATTTGGCAGAGATTACTGTATCTATGCCAAAAAATACTTTGTAACGCAATGAGGTCACGGCTATAAAGAGTTGAAGAAAACTATGCTTTAAACCCCACAGAAGCAACTCAACAACAGGCCAAAGTGCAACTCGACAACAGAGTTCACTTCAAACCTCTCAAAGCACCGATAGTGAAAAACACGTAGGAAAGGGTTAATACCGAGATCATTGACCAAATGCANATAATAATAATAATAATCTTTATTTAGCAATAATTTCCATAAAATCCTCTACAATACAAAATATTAACAGCGTAAAAAACGATTCAAAGTAACTCATTTTCGGCTCACATCGCCTCCTTTTTTTTCATGTCAAAGCGTCTGGAAAACTATAAATAACGGAGTCAAATCTGAACAGATTCAAAGTCTAATAATCTGATAAGTAAAAGCATATCTAAAACTATACAGAGAAGAGAAAGGTGAATGGCAAATCTAGAACCCTATCATAATAATAGTAATAATACGGTATTTATATAGCGCTATTTCTATCACTATTCAATAGCGCTGAATATTAGTGTTATAGATCACACCGATAAAATTTGTAGAACGTAAAAAATATCTAAAATATGAGTAAAAGAAACTAACCAATAAGGTAATCTCTAGTAATGAGGGTAGAAACTGTAACTTATAATGAAATTAACTAATTTACTGGCTAAGTGACCAGCTTATTAACTAATGAACTAATTTACTAACCAACTATCTAGCGATCAAGCTAACTACCTAAATAACTAGTTAACTCACTTAGCAATAGTCTAATTGTAAAATTTATCTTTCGGACAAATGTCATATTTTTCTTCAAGTCAAATACTGACAAATATGACAAACATCACATTTGAACCACATTTGGACCGCATTTGTCTGACGTCAAATCTGACTTTTCGCCCAGTGTTTATTACAATAATCATGCACAAGCGCACTACTGAATCTCCTGTTACCTAGAGTTAACTGCTTTGTAGCGCCCTTTTTGTATTTCGGAGCCAAGTAAAAGCTGGAAGTAAACTTTATGCAAGTTAAAGACTAGGTATACAGATAATGTTATTCTTAGGAACTCTCAATAAACCTAGCGTAAGGTAAACAGTTTATCGGTAAATTTTTTTACATATTTCATGGCTATTCACACGAAAATGTACGCTTCCCCCGTATGAACTTTACCTCAATCCGTTTTTATTTCAAGAGCGGCGAAAAAAGGGATGATCTCTCTCCAAAATCGAGTATTTGGACATCAAACAACCTTTCGCCATATATCTCCAGGCAACTTGCAAGTTTTTAGTGTTCAAAATCGACGAACACCAATAAGAGTTAATTTTCTTTATTCGCGAACACCAACAACACTCAAATAATACGTTAATAACTCTTTTGTCAAAGCCACGTGTTTACCATCAGGGGGAATTGCAAAATCCCCCTCAGAGACTTAAATGACAAAAGTTAATTCTATTGCCACACGCAGCAACTAAGTAATGTTGGCCATGGGGGTTACTACAATTCCATGGATTAGGTGAGCGGTACTACCTAATGAGCTATGAAGCCTCGATTTGAAAAGGAAGGAAAATTTCAGTGAGTTCTTAATTTCCTGTCCGGGAATAAGTACTTCATAACCGTGAGTGAAGTCGTCAATTAATCCGTGAGTGAAGTCGTTACGGGAAATTCTTAATACTGCAAGTCCGAGGTTTGAGATTTTCCTGTAATGACGGAACGCTCGAAGTTGGTAAGTTGTTTATTATATGGCTTAAAAACTGAGGAAACGAAACATTTAATCAGGCGGAAGTCGTTTATTTAATTCACATCCGTCGATGCATGCGATTACCTATTCAGTCATCGACTCAAACCAAGAGGTAAAATTACCTAAACAATAAAGTACACACTATATCACTTATTCCGTCAAGAAAACAGAACCTCAGAACCTTCAAAAAACGTATTTCGGTCTAGTGGTGTTCCCAAATATAGGAGGGGAAATTTGTCCGGTTTTTAAGGCAAAACGTCAAGTGCAATACATACAGGAAAGACAAAAGTGATTCAAATTATTCCAAACATGTCCGGTCCCTTGTGAAAGAAAAATAGAAGTACTTCATGGTTATGACATCACGCCCTAAACTGTTTGAACTATGGTGACATTTTAGATAGCGTGTTGGCAGAGGTACATCGTAGTGACTGTTTGATATGCTTCCTTAGGGAGCGGAATACGAAGCTACATGGACTTCTGTGTGGCCCCAATCGAAGGAGGTTGTTCTCCTCCTGATGGGAGTTATCTGATCCTCACCAAAACGAAAGGCACAGCTTGTAATGCAACCGACCAGATGTTTCTACTCGACCAAAATGGAGTCATCTATCATATGTGCAGCAGGAAAGTAGTTTGTCCACAGCGTAACAGTTTTCTCCTTTTACTTTATTTAATTAGTTTTGTTGTTCAGTGTTGTTGGAATCATTCATGAACGGTATTTGATTCTTATTGCCTGTTTTCGTTGTTGTTGCTCTCTATTTCTCAAACTTCTCGTAAGTCATGGACAATCCGTTTTTTGAAACTCAAACTTTGTTATCTGTTTATTTTTTTCCTCCGTTTGTGGATAGACAATAACCCTACCAATAGAAAGAAACTTATTTTGAAGGATAAATGCAATCTGAGCGTTTCCAGGCATGTCAGGTATAGTGAAAATGTAAAGGCTGCAACACGATGACAATTTTGGCCACATGTTCATTCTATATTCATTCCTCTCCTCCTTTTTCTCTTGTGGTACTTCTTTGCATGTGTACAAGTTCTCTTTCGCTTCGACCATTTATCATATAAGGGGCAAAATTACTGAATTGTGATTGGTGAAGACAGAGGGCATTTTTTCTTAATTTTTGTAATTGCCCCGGAGCAAAATAACTTGAAAATGATTGGCTGAAAATCGCTTAGCAACGGCTGCCAAGGTAAAGAAATCTCTGTTTGTTTTGTAACAATGGCGTCCCGTTTTGCGCGAGATTAGTAAGAAAACATTTTGCCCCTTATATTGTAAACAAGTAATCCCATGGTTCCTTGTAAAATTAAGGATTAATATCACTTGTGTTTTCGGAAGTTGCAGAAATTGCCCTCGTCGCTGCGCGACTCGGGCAATTTCAGCAACTTCCGAAAACACGCGTGATATTAATCCTTAAATTTACTCGGCCCCATGCGATTACCTATACCTATTAACGCCCTGACTCACTTGCTAAAAGGTATGTTGCTGGAAGTTGCAAATTTCTCTCTAGAAAAATCTAAGTAGCCCCTCATTTTCATACCGACAGAACTGAAATCTCTATGGTTCTTTCCCTGCACAGGACAAAACATCTTTGTGTTGACGAGTTCCTTTTTGTGATTAATATCTCGCAAAACTGAAACGATGGCATCTTCAAATTGTCTTTCTTTCTTCTATATTCAGTAAATTACATTCCTGCTCGTTGAGAGCAATGGTTTTTTTTTTCTTTATATATCGCTTACTTGGTCATTTGAGGTTGCCAGCTCATAATAATCTGAAGAATTTGAAGAGCAATTTCTGTGTTCATCCACACGGTGGGAGGCCAGAGGAGGGAAAGCTGTTGGAGTATTCGCCAGGGTGTGACATGAGAAGATTGAAGCTCGACTTCTTTGAACTTGGTAAGAAATTAACGCGAAGAAATAGGAAATGAACAACGTTTAAGAGCGCTTTGGAGTGTCGCAAAACCAAAGTAATCACAATGTCCTATCAGAGCAAAGGAGAATAGAACAAGGAGCCAATGGGAACGTGCGATAGGAATAGGCGTGAAAGGCCTAAAGTGCAGGAGAGTGCACATGACTAAGTCTGGATTTTAGTTTTACATCAGTCGATGATAGCACACACAACCGGAAAATTCTGAATGGAGAACATTTTAATTTTTCCTTGCAGGTGTACCAACGCCCTGAATTCCAGTGCGGAGAAGTATTTATTCACTGACTTATTGGAAATAGTACTAGCACGAAAAATGACAATGCGGTAGACTAGATGTGAGATAATTAAATCAAGAGTTACTACGTTTGTATTCTCAGGAATAGTTGTTTCTCTGACAGCAAGAAGATAGCAAGTCCTAACCATCGTGAGAGAGAACCAAAAAACGACTGCGCCTGCGTCGCCTAGTGCGGCAGGAAATTGGGAATGACATCACAAAACCATCGCAACCTTACGAAAGATAGCGAAATGTTTCGAACCTTGGACAGCGCGGAGGATTTTTTCCGCGTTTACGTGTAGGTAAAAAGGCTCGGCTGGCTGAGAAACTTTGGTTGGAGAGGGGTCGATAATCTCTGTATACCCAATATTTTGCACATTCCACCTTTGGCATGCACACCAATCGTAGTTTTATTTCAAAAGAATTTGCGCCAAGAAATTAAAAAAAACATTTACTGCTACAAGGCCTACAATATCTTATTTATAAAGTGTGTAAAAATGGGTTTTTCAGAAAAAGAAAATCTTATCAAAAAAACCCAGCAGGAAAAATTAGCATCAATTTGTCATCATATTTGAGAAGAGTAATTTTTCAACACAGTGATTGTAACTTTTATTTTTGAAAAAAAAAGGAAACAAAAAATTGATTCTCCGGCCACATCTCAGCCACCTCCCCTGAAAATTTGAAATCAAAAGAGCAAATTCTGAATATTTTGTCATACTTCACTCATGACTATGTCGGTCGTTAAAAATCAATTGGGAAACACTACTCCACCTTGCCAAAATAGTGCTAATACTCATTCATTCGGGGACATCTACTACGAACAAACTAATGGCGTAGTCATGGGTACCAAAATGGGACCCAGCCATACCAATCTTTTCGTATTATCGACCACCAACTTTCCAATGAATACAACGTCCTCAAACCTGATCGTTATGGTCACTACAATGACGACTGTATCGGTGCTACCTACTCTACCAGAAAACAGCTAACTTAATTTATAACCGGCGTCAATTCCTATCGCTTGGCTCTAAAATACAACTGGAAAAACCTGAGAAACTTCCGACACTTCTTTGGCTTCTTTTATATATCAAAGTTCAATTGAAGGCAACGGTCTATGCACTATAGCATAGGCCCACTAGGTATGTTATTGAGAGACACCCCCGTTAACTAAAACGACGATTTACTTGTCTGCACTTTAGACTGCACACAGCCCTTGAGAATACTCTTGTCATTCTTAACACAATGGCACGGCGTTTCGAATCGTTTCCTTTCTTTGAATGTGGTCGCAACTGTCTCCAGTATCTTTCGGATTTGATTTATGTCCCGTTTCTTCCCATTTGGATTTTGGGAGTTCAATTTTTTTCTCGATTTTCTCCCTCGCTTTTGTGCTTTTCGTCAAGGTCTTACTGTCACATGCTTTACTTTCTGTATCTGGGGATAAACTTCCCGATTCCGCCAGCAAAAGGTATTCTTCTCAGCTAAAATTTGCCGTTCGGTCGGATTTTGAAACTTTCTTTGGTGAAACCTTCAAAATGTACATGCAGACCACTCAAAAGTCCGTACATTCCCCGTAAGACCTAGTTTAGCCCTTGGCTGTGAAAAACATGGATCAGCCGCGTTTTAAAAATGTAATAACCGTTGTCCACCGAAACACCGTTTAAACTGCGTTTTTTCCATAAACAATGTCCAACGTAGACTTTGTTTAAAATCTTCGGAGGAAAAAATTTCAATGGAATTTAGTGAAGCGAAGTTATTTGTTTGATGTCTGTTATATTGGAGGATTTGCTTGCGAACAAACCTTGATTAATCTCCTTATTTTCTAAAGTTGGAAAAAGCTGCTGTGGAAATAGCAAATATGTTCCTTGAATTTATCTCTTCGGTATCCCTTAGGGGTTGATCTGTTCCCACAGAAGGACCTCAAAAATTCGTGCTCGTACCTCTCAAGCATTCTTCGTCAAAAACATTTCTAAACATGGATTGCAAGAAAAGTTTGTTTAAGAAAAATACTTTGCTAAATGAGAACCAAGAAAATTACGTTTTCAACCTAGAAACATCCTCTTTTAAACTAGGACAGTGATTTTCAATCGAGAAAAGGAGCATACTTATCACAACAAACTGTTGCTGAAAGAATTAAATCAAAATGGTTTAAAGAGAAAATTGTAATACAAAAGACGTAGTTTACGGTGCTATTGCAAAGCATCAGACTGTGTTGAGAAAGAAGAACAACACTTTCGAGCTAGAAGAGAGAAATTTTGAATTTTTGCATTTTTAATTTATAATTATTAAGAATAAAAAGTTTTATCATAAGGCAGCTACTGTTTCAAGCAATAGATCATTCCTTGAAAAAAAGTGAAAAAAACATTGCAGCAAGACATCAGTGCAACGATAAAAGCGAAGGAATGAAACCTTTATCCGTATTTCTCAGGAATTTTTGCAAACTAAACTAAACTTATTTTCTTCTCTGTTGAATGTCATGTGGTGTTGATAGGGATACGTTTTCTAGCTTTGCAAAAAGAATTCTTAACAGAGAGATTAAAGGAACTTCTTTATATCAAGAAGAGCCATGGCCCTTATTGCGAGAGAAAAACCCTTTTCCCATCGTCGTTTGAATTTAACCTGTAACTTTGCAAGAGTGAAGAGCTTTAAGCAGAAAGGAAACAAAAATTGATTTGATTTTAAGGTCCTCGAGAATTTTTTACTGAAAAAAATCTTTCAGATGAAAATTCTCGGAGCTCTTAAAACCAAATTAATTTCTGCTCTTTTGAAGATTAAAAGGAAAAAGAAAACTGACCAACGGGGCCGACGGCCCCCATGAGTTGCTTAAACAACTTAGATAAACGACGGCGGGGCTACGGTCGACGTTTAATTTGAATCAATGAATGCGCATCACCACTAGACCACAGAGGCTTTTGGTAGGAGAGCCCGGCAAAAATACAATAGAAGTAGGTTGGCTCCCATTGTTCTTAGAAACAATATGTTATGCATAGGGATTGATGCTAGTTATTTTCATCCCCTGAGACTTTAAGTTCTATTGTGTTCACCTTGCATTCTTGCTTTCCTTTTTACGGGTTGCTTGAATTTCTTTGATGAAGAAAGGAACGAGAGAAAGTTTTCAAGTCCCTGTCTTTTTAAGTCAATAATAAGAATTTTCAAGTAAGAAATGTTTTTCAATCCCTATTTGAGCAGAGAAATTAGATGTTGAAATTTCATTCAAATGTTAGATGAAAAGTGGTAAAACTAGTGTCGATATCAAACAAGAAGTGAGTAACTTAATTAATTTTTCCGTGATTCTCTTCGAGAAAGCATGAAAGCTTCTGTGGTCTAGCGGTAGTGTACATTTAACAATTCAAATTAAACGGCGGCTGTATCCTCCAGTCGTCATTTAATTTAGTCGGTTAAAGCACATCGGAGGGGCTCGGGCCCGGTGGGTCAGTTTTCTTTTTTATTTTTAATCTTTGAAGAAGATTTTTCTTAATTAATTTTAGGATCTCCGAGAATTTTTTTGGGGAATTTTACGAGAAGAAATTCCCAGAAAAAATTCTCAGAGATCTTAAAATTAAAAATATCCTGATTAAACAAGAAAAAGGGAATTTACGACTTAAAATAAACGCAAAAATAATGCAATGTAAAAAGATCTTCTGTCATCCTAAGAAATGTTGGTACTTGAAAACTAAGAAATTAATTGATGCTTGCCCTATAAAATGAAGTCACAGCTTTTGCTTCGTGGTTCACGTCTTTTTTTCTTTTTTTCTTTTTTTTTTTTTCATAAATCAAGAGAAAGAGTGGCTACATGAGTACGAAATTCCATCCTTAAGAAATTAAATAACAGATTTTTAAAAAGCAAATTTTTTAATTAGACTTTTAAGTGACTATTTTTCTTTATTCTGATAGGACATTTTCTTTTTATCCTCTTTCACTACGGAAAGTATTTTACTCAGGTAGCCATGCCTTCTCTCAACCTTTACCGAATTCTTGATGCTTCACGAAATTGCCCTTCGCAAAAGATGTAAAATTTTCAACATCATTATGAGTTTCAAAAACACCAGAAAAATCTCATTAGATCTATGATCAAGTGATCAGTTGTCAATTTTCTTGAGATCCAACTTTAGTGAAAACTAAGCAGTTCGCCATCAGGTTAAAAGGCAATCACTTAATAACTAGAGCTGAGAAATCCAGCTGGTAAACACATGTATACGACAGCTATTTTGTGGATTAGGAATATACCATTATCAAAACCGTTCTTGTCAAAACCTTTTGAAGGACAGTCATAAAAAAAAATTTATATTTTGGCTATTTATGCAACATCTGCCTCGTCAAAAATATGAAACGGATGCAAAATATCTGGCTTCTATTACACGAGGTAAAATGAATGAATGACTTCTGCTTCGTCTTAATTTGCTGTAGTATGCTTCCCTTGGTAACTGTTGCTGAGACATCAGAACCTTCATAGAAAGAGGGTAAATTAGGAAAAAGTCAACCCACATGGAACGCTTAATAAAAAGGCTATAGAAAAATATCGGGGATCTTTCCAAATTTTTTCTGAATCAAAAAAAAGTAGAACAAAGAAATCGTTTACTCGTAGATAAATACGGGACAACATGAGGCATAAAACGAATCCCTTTTCCTTACTAAGTGAACTAAAAGCTTTTGCTCCAGGGGTTTTCGTTTACCCTAAAACATTCTAGTTTGATAAACACATTATTTCGAACAGACGCTATACTGGAATGAAATCTCTTCCTTAGGTAAACAAACATCGCCAAATTCATCGCGAAAACTCTGTTTAGTTCAAAAGTAAAAATCACGTCCATTAAAAGCATATGCAAATTTCAATTATTTTTGTTATGTACTTAATTTCCACCTCTATGGAATTTTCAGTCACACCTTTGAGTTTTAGTTGTCCCCTTTTTCATTCGCCTCGAAAAACTCTTCATAGTTAAGGAAAATAGATTGTTTGAATTGTACAAGTGTTTGGTTCTTCACAAAGTTTGTTGTTCGAAAATATTATTGGTTATAATAATTTTTGTTTTGTATCAATTTTTTTCATTTGAAGAGACAATAAAATTCCCGACTTATAATAGCTCCTTTTTCTCATAATACTTATCATTTTCACCGGAAATGTTTTAATGAGTTCTAACAGAAAAGTTGAGAATCCTCCTTCATGATGCAAAGCCTAGGTCTTTTAAGTGTTATTAACTGAAGAATGTATCCATCTATCTCATTAAAATATTACTCTCATTGAAAAAAAAAAATCGCCTTTTTTCAAATCATTTAACCCAACAAGTTTAATTGTTAAAGAAAACATCGTCCCTTTTGCTCTCAATTTTTTCCTGTTTTTGCCAATATGTACTACCATGAGAAACATAACGTCGTCTTTGATGAAAGACCTCTTTAAGCAAAGGTCAGAGATTAATAGCCCATTTCCGAATTACCCTTGGCCTCATTT